TATACCCATGGAGAATTGCCTGCCCTTGAGAAAATGCTAAATGTATCATATTCTGTGAATGTTTTTCAAAATACAGGAGTTTGCTTCCAAGTAACCTGTTGATTGTTGCCATAATTATAAGCACAGTATTACTTTTTTTCTTTTCAGTTTATTTAGAATTATCTCTAATTACTGATTGGAGATAATTTTGAGTTTTTAACTAGGTAGGTTCTCTTTCAGACTCTGAAGAAGAACCTATGGAGGTTGTACCAACCAAAGGCAAGAAAACTGCAAAAGCTATTCCTGCAAAGGCCAAGTGCACACCTCAGGATGAAGAAGAAGATGATGAAGATGAAGACGAGGATGAAGATGATGAAGAGGATGAGGAGGAGGATGAGGAAGAGGAGGATGATGAAGAGGAAGGTGGTAATCAAGTTTGATTCTAAATTACATTAGTATGATTTTGTTTAAAGGAGTTATTTCAACATGTGTGGCTACATGTGGATGACACAGATTGTTTGAAATCTTGTCTAGAGCCTGTCAAAGAAGCACCTGGAAAACGAAAGAAGGAAATGGCCAAACAGAAAGCTGCTCCTGAAGCCAAGAAGCAGAAAGTGGAAGGTAACTGGGCAGAATTGCCGAGGGAGGGGGGGTGGCGCCCAATAGCACAAGTGATGAACAACAAAGGGACTTAATACTGAAACCTGATGTTACGTTGCAATGTGCTGATGTGCTGTGTATACAGACTTGTACCGGAAATGAAGTTCATATCCTATTTTATGTTAGATTAATTTGAGGGGGTTTTTTTGTACAGCCACAGAACCAACTACAGCTTTCAATCTCTTTATTGGAAACCTGAACTTCAGCAAATCTGCTTCTGAATTAAAAACGGGTATCAGTGACGTTTTTGCTAAAAACGATCTTGCTGTTGTGGATGTCAGAATTGGTATGTCTCGGTAAGTATGGGAGAACAGAACCATAGCATTTCTGTACATTCTTCCTGGTCTGCTGATGCTTTCTTTCCTCCCTTTTTAGAACCTTAGTCCTCTACTCTGAGGCATGAATATGTCCTCAGAGTTTAGACATTAATGAATTGTCATTTAGGTTATCAAATTGTGAAGCCCCAAATTGAAATTTCTGTAATGTCCCTTAACTTTTGATATAGCACAAAATGATGTTTAATAAGCTATGAGCTTTTAAAGCTTTTATTATCTAAAATTTTCAGATACCAACCAGCCATGATAGTGAATGCTTTTAACCAGACCAGATTCTCTTAATCTAGATGCTTGAACGTGTTCTTTTGTTAGCTGTTAGGAGCAGTGTAGCTAATGAAGACAGCCTCAAAGGTGAACTTGCATCAGGTCTGGGACTTAGAGTGTGCTCTGCATCCTTAGCTCCTTAGCTTTCAGAGCCTGGCTTTATTTTGTTAATAAAGTGGCTGCCTTTATATTAAATCTTTGTCTGCACTAGCACATTAGTATGGCTGCTTGTTTAGAAGATGTTAGTGTTTGTTTTTGTTTTTTTCAAACCTGTGATTATGTGTCTCTGCCTTGACTCCGTAAAGGAAGTTTGGCTATGTGGATTTTGAATCTGCTGAAGACCTAGAAAAAGCCTTGGAACTCACTGGTTTAAAAGTCTTTGGTAATGAAATTAAACTAGAAAAACCAAAGGGAAAAGACAGTAAAAAAGGTATGTATTATTTCAGGTAAAATTTTTAATTTATTGATTTCAGAGAGGGGTAATTAACCAACCCACTTACGTGTTGATTGGTTAATTCTCGTATGTGCCCTGACCTGCAACTTTGGTGTATTGGGATGATGCTCTAACCAACTGAGCTGCCTGGCCAGGACTTGCTTTAGGTAATTGTGATACTGATAGGTAATTTACTAATAGGTAACTTGTTAATGGAAATGTTTCTAGTCTTAATCGGCCAGGTTAAGTAGTTGAACCTTTTTCCTTTGGTTTCCTCATAGTGTTGAGGGTTAAATGAGTGAGAATATTAAATGTTTACAGCAGTGTTTGGCACTGATTGCTGGTGTTACAAATTACCAACTCAGGCAAGCAAGAATGGACTTATAAAAAAAAATAGGTTGGATATACAGCCATACCTTTGAGGTATTGTGGATTTGGTTTCACACCAAATTAACACAGAGAGGCCTTTCCTCCCTGGAACCAGATCAGGCCCTTCACTGTTATTTTTGTGTCCTTCATATACTTTGTCATGTTTCATGTGTTTGATTATTTAAATTTAAAAATACTGAGCACCTACCAGGTTGTTGTAAATGTCCAGCACATGGTTTGATGTACATTGCGACAGCAGCCTTGCCACTGCTGTATGTCCGTACTGCCAGAACGTCTTGTACATTGTCAAGTCTCAAATTATGTCTTAAACAGAACTTTTCTGTTGCTCAGTGTCTCGCAAAGGAGGTTTTTTAACCCATCTGTCTCGTTTTGTTTTTTATCTAGATCGAGATGCGAGAACACTTTTGGCTAAAAATCTGCCTTATAAAGTTACTCAGGATGAATTAAAAGAAGTGTTTGAAGATGCCATGGAGATTAGATTAGTCAGCAAGGATGGAAAGAGTAAAGGGTATGTTTCATGTCTACTGGATTGTTGAGTTTTATTAAAGTTAATGCATTCCTATTTTATAAAGGAAACATTGATCTAACTTTTCCTAGGTGTATGATTTTGGGCAAGTTAATCTATAACAGGCTTCAATTTCTTACCTGCACGTTGAGGATAATGCACTTAATTCAGAGTGACTTTAAAAGATGGGTTAATGTGTGTAAGGTACTGGGAAATGTGCACAGTGCATAGTGAGTGATATGATATTTGTTGTGCTTAACTAAAGCAGGGTCATGTTGCTCAGATGAAAGCATTTGTATTAAATAATAAGGTTCGAAAAATGAAGTGAAATCTTAGGGTTTTTAATGCATCCCCCTATTGCAGGATTGCTTATATTGAATTTAAGACAGAAGCTGATGCAGAGAAAACCTTGGAAGAAAAGCAGGGAACAGAAATAGATGGGCGATCCATTTCCCTGTACTACACCGGAGAGAAAGGTCAAAGTCAAGACTATAGAGGTGGAAAGAATAGTACTTGGAGTGGTAAGAATGTATACATTTCCTACAGGGTTCCAGAATTGATGGAGAGAAATCCTTTGCATGTTTGAACTTTAAATATAAAGTCGACTGATTAATTTTAATATAGATGTAGATTAAGCAAGTTATACCTGTTAGTAGTAGTTCCGTGTCTGTTAGATTTTGCATTAGAACATAGATAGCTCTGACTTCCTTGTGTATGTATATTTTAGACTTTAAATGACTTACATTACGTACACTTTAAAATTAGAAGATTGTTCTAGGAACATACAGATCAGTAGTCAGCTTACACATCTGAACAACAGGAGTAGAAGGAAGCAGAACATGAGTGCATAATAGGTACTTGGTGTGTTGAGATACTCAGTGTGGGATTCCATCTACATCATGATTAGCATGTTTAGAAAACAGTATGTTAATGCTCCTAGGCACATAAAATCCTTTTTTTTTTAAGATTTTATTTATTTTTCAAAGGGAGGGGAAGGGGTGGAGAGAAACATCAGCTGGCTGCCTCTCGCACGTCCCCAATCATTGACCTGACCTATAGCATAGGTACATCCTGACTGAGAGTCACACGAGTGACCCCTTGGTTCACAGGCTGACACTCAGTCCACTGAGCCACAACCGCCAGGGCAAAGCAGCACAAATTCTTAACAAGATAAACAACTGTGACTGAAGCTCTGAACCACTGTTTTCATGGTCTTAATGTGGCATCTCTTTATTGGTAGGTGAATCAAAAACTCTGGTTTTAAGCAACCTCTCCTACAGTGCAACAGAAGAAACTCTTCAGGAAGTATTTGAGAAGGCAACCTCCATCAAAGTGGCCCAGAACCAAAATGGCAAATCTAAAGGGTAAAATAACTCATACCTCTGTGTTGTTCTGGTCTGGATGAGTGTCTTGGCGTAGGTAAAACCATGTTTTCCTGGCTTTTGGAAGTGGGATTACTTTAGACAAGTCTGTATAAAATAAAGGACATGGGCTTGAGGGAAGAGGCTCAATGGCATTAGATGTGATTTCAGAGGAGCCACTAGCTTGGTAATTTATTTTAAATATTGGCTGTTCATTCTCAGGTATGCATTTATAGAATTTGCTTCATTTGAAGATGCTAAAGAGGCTTTAAATTCCTGTAATAAGAGAGAAATTGAGGGCAGAGCCATCAGGCTGGAGTTGCAAGGACCCAGGGGATCACCTAACGCAAGAAGCCGTAAGTTACCATTAACAGGGCCTCGTGGTTGGGGGTGGCTCTCCTCTGGGCCATGCTGTCACTTTTCGGTCAGATCTAGAGGTGAACACTTGTCTACCTGTGTTCCGTGCCTGTGGTTTCTGTTGCTGCTGAGTAAATGACACTGGATATGATGACTGATTGTCTGAGAAATAATTGATGAAATGCCAAGAAAATTCCTCTAGATAGTCAAGTTCTGATCCAGCCACGTCGACTCTGAGCAGCAGGTGTGCACATGGTTTACTGCCTCCCTGCTTCGGGTCTGCTGTCTCTCTCGTTTGGGTTGGTTCTGCTTCCCGTGAACAATCTGAGATAGTAGTTCAGCTGCTTTGGTGATAGGGCAGTTGATTTAATCCCTTGGCTTTAATTATTAGTTTGCTAAGATTACCTTTTTCTCATAGAGATTCTTCAAGCTTCTGCTAAGACAAGCATTCTTGGCCAGTCATTATTCTAAACATGTAAGTCTGGGGTGTTGTTATGAATTAGGATTTTAAATAAACGTGTTTTGTTCCCCCCCCCCCCCCCCCCCCCAGAGCCGTCCAAAACTCTGTTTGTCAAAGGCTTGTCTGAGGAGACTACAGAAGAGACATTAAAGGAGTCATTCGATGGCTCTGTCCGGGCCAGGATAGTCACAGACAGGGAGACTGGATCTTCCAAAGGGTAAGCTGCAGGCAGTGTCGAGTGGAATCCTATCCGTGTATCTTCTCATTGAGCTCCTTGCTGTCGATCTGTGGCAGTTTATGGATTCGCACGAGAAGAAGAGACAGTTCACAGAGCTAGCATTGTTTTGCCTCCAGTCTTCAGAGGTCTATTCTGCTATTCTGTGAGACATTCTGGTACTCAGGCTGTCGGTAAAACCAGTGTCAGCTTGCTAGAGAGAGCTATTCTGGTCATTTGGGTCTTTTCTCAATTGAGTAAGGCTACTTTCTGGGGGATCACTGGCCACTACATGAGGTTAACTTTGGTGCATATCCTATATCTCTTTGTTTTATAATGGGTAAATTCACTTGGCATTTTAGGTTTGGTTTTGTAGACTTCAACAGTGAGGAAGATGCCAAAGCAGCCAAGGAGGCCATGGAAGATGGCGAAATTGATGGAAACAAAGTCACTTTGGACTGGGCTAAGCCTAAGGGTGAAGGTGGCTTCGGGGGTCGCGGTGGAGGCAGAGGTGGCTTTGGAGGCCGAGGTGGTGGCAGAGGAGGCCGAGGAGGATTCGGTGGCAGAGGCCGGGGAGGTTTTGGAGGTAAGGATCACAGAGGGCTGCCTCTGTGCAGTGATAACTATCAGTCGTCACCAGTCACTGGGGAGGGGAGAGTTCCTAGCAGCTTGGCCTCTGTTCCTTAATGACATCTTCCCTTCCTACAGGTAGAGGAGGCTTCCGGGGAGGCAGAGGAGGCGGCGGCGACCACAAGCCACAAGGAAAGAAGACGAAGTTTGAATAGTTTCTTCTATTCCTGTTTTTCCCTCTTCCGTTTGAAAGAAAGGACTCTGGGGTTTTTACTCTGTTACCTGATCAATGACAGAGCCTTCTGAGGACATTCCAAGACAGTATACAGTCCTGTGGTCTACTTGGAAATCCGTATAGATAACATTTCAAGGGAGATACCTGTTGGTTTTGACTGGATATTCATATAAACTTTTTAAAGAGATGAGTGATAGAGCTAATAACCCTTATCTGTTTTGAATTTATATTGTTTCTTCCCATGTACAAAACCATTTTTTCCTACAAATAGTTTTTTTTTGTGTGTGTTGGGGGGTATAAAGGAAAGCAGAACGTTTTATCATGATTTTGCTTCAGCAAATTTGGGACAAATTAAAAGTCCTAAACTCTGGTGCCAGACTTGTACTTCCTAGAGTGTTTTTCCCGGAATATCGCTGAAGGCGGAGCATGGCAGACGCAGCTCTGCCACTCAGGTCCACCCTGCCCCTGACAGAAGTGCTTGGTGCTTGGGTTTCAAGTACCCCAACCACAAGTTCTGGTGGAATGGAGGTCTGTGTGGCTTCTGCTCAGCCAGCTGGGGGGGGGGGGGGGTGCGCTCAGGAAATAGGCCTTAGGTAAAGTATCTGTGAGTGTGGGTTCTGGAATAACCAGTGACTAGTGAAGAGAATCGAGGGACTTTGGGATAGCAGCTGGGGAGGAAACTAATCCAAATATACCTCAGGTTAAACTGCCAAGAAGGACCTTTGGTTTTGCAGAAAATGTAATAACCCAGACATTTTGGTTGATTCTTTTTATTAAATCATCATCCAAGGATATGTTGATTATAGAGAAACATTGATCAGTTGCTTCCTGTATGGGCCTGGGTTGGGGATCTAACCAGCAGCCTTTCAGTGCTGTGTTTTGCCGTGCATAATGCACTCCCGTGTATAACGCACATCCTTATTTCCCCCTCAGTCTGGGCAAAATGCATTGTGCACAGCAAAATTCAGTGTATGGGGAAATGCGCCAGTCAGTCAGGCCACCTGGCCAGGGCCTCATTTACTAAGTATTCCCTGCTCTCCAGCCTAAATGAGCCCTGGCTGGTGTGGCTCAGTGGACTGAGTCCTGGCTTGGCAACCAGAGTCACTGCTTTAACTCCCAGTCTGGGCACGTGCCTGGGTTGCAGACCAGGTCATGACCTAGTAGGGGTCGTGAGAAGCAACACTTTTCCTCCCTGCTTCCCCTCTCTAAAAGTCTTAAGAAAAAGGCTGTAGAAATGTTTATGTCAAGGGGCTAACATGAATTGAGTTGGAAAACTACCCCAGATGGTAGAGTTGAGATTGTGAACCCCGACAGCCAACCCCAAAAGCCTGTATTAATCAGACTAGTAAAAATGTGAAATTAAAAATACAGTACGGGTAGAAGGAAACAAGGCAACTGGCCCAAAGGGTATATTGGATAGCTGTGTTATCCTGGTCGAGTTCTGCAAGTGGGATGAGGAAACCCAAGCCCCGTGCACATCACCACTTACCAGTCCTGTTAACAAGTACTAAAGGCTTAGAGCAGAGCTCTTATGACAAAGTTTTGAGGGGTGAGTGCCAAATTAAGTTTGGTGCTGCCAGGGGAGGTCTCCAAAAAAGCCTTGGCAAACTATTCCTCGAAGTTCCAGTTAAGAGTCCATCAAGCATGTGGAGTCAGGACAGCTCTCTTGATTCCAGTGAGAGACGATTCATTGTTCACCTATTTGTGCATTCATTGGCTGATTGTTTAAAAAATTACTTTCAGAGGGGAGAAAGGGAGAGAGCGTCAGTCTGTTCCCACCTCCCAGGTAGGGTTCTGCCGCAGAACCCACGCCTTTGGCCTGAGAATCGGAACGGCAGCGTTTTGGTGGGCGGCCAGCACTGGGGCCACTGAGCCACACCAGCCAGGGTTGGTAGGTAGATTTTTTAAAAGATTTTATTTATCTTTAGAGGGGAAAGGAAGGAGAGACATATCAGTGTATGGTTGCCTCTCGTGAGTCCCCTGCTGGGGACTGGCCTGCAACCCAGGCATGTGCCCTGATGGAATTGAACTGTGATAGTGTGGTTCAAAGGCCCGCGCTCAATCCACTGAGTTACACCAGCCAGGGCAGTTGGTAGATTCTTATATGTCCCCCAAACAGGGATGGAACACAGCCTGGGTGCATCTGGATGACACCAACCAGATGAACTACCTGGCTAGACCAGTCTCTGCCCCCGGCCCTGAACGTGTCAAGTTATTTCGTTAATGGCAATTGGTCTCTTCAAACTACTGTCAGGGGCCCGACAGTGGTCTTCGGTCTCCTGAGAGCCTTGGAGGATGATCACAGGGAGGCCCTTTCCTATTACAGCTTTCTCCCAAGTGGGCACCTGCCTGGGCTGGCTGCTTTGCTCTTCTTTTGGCAGACCTGTGGGTTTTAGGCAAACCTGACAAGGCAGCAGGTGAGCTGGCCATCTAGGAGTGTGACTGCAGACTGCGAGCGCAGGCCCCGCAGTCAGTGCTTAGCATGACTTCTGAAAACCCGGAGTAGGGTTTTTCCTCTGTGGAGGGGAGGGAAGGGAGGAGGCTCAGCAGTCCGGCTGCAGGAGCACCTGGGTCCGTGGGCAGGGCCGGTGCTGCAGGAGATCCCTGCCCTGCCCCGGGAGTTGGTCTTCACCTCCGACAAGGTGATGCGGCTACTGTACCCTCGGCAGGCCAGCGTTTACCGCAGCCCCTCCGCAAACCTGTGAGGCAAGAGGGGAAAAATATCGGGGTTCCTCCCGCCGTCCTGTTGCTCCCCATTGAGGGATGGAAATAGTCCAGCCCCGGTAACTGGCGGTTCCCACCAGAAGCTCGCTCACTTCCCGTGGAACGAAGGTGATGGACGGTGGTTCCCCTACAGAGCTGGGGAGGATCGGGCGGGCGTTCAGGGTTAAACCCTGTAAACATCATCTCCCTGGTGCCTGGTTTCTGATTTGAGGGGTTGGGGGAGGACTTCGCAGCCATTTTAGAAAAGCAGCCGGTTCCTTCCAGCAAATGGTTGTCGCTGTCTTTGTTACTTCTTCCAGCAGGTGGCAGCACAGCCCCAGGAATGGAAACCCGTGGTGGGAGGCTGGAGCCGGGGCTCTGGAACTCCCAGGCCGCACCCAAATTAGCAACAGGGCCTGCGAGTCTGCAGGAAGTCCACTCAAGGCACTTTGAGAGATGCTGCAGGACCCCCAGAGAAGTGGACTCCAGTGGGGCTCGCGAACTAAGATGTGCTGGTTCCGTGTTCTTTCTCTGAGCTGCCCCCTTTACCCACGCGCGGCCCGCCGACCGGCTCCGTGTGTCCACCTGGCCTCAGCCCTCCCGGGCCCAGAGCCTCACCCAAACGGAGGGCCCCGACCCGCCCTCCCTGCCCAGCTGCGCCCTCTTCCCTCCGTGGGCCGAACTGAGATGGCCCGCGCTCCTGCCTCCTCGGCTCTCAGCACTGTGGCTTCGGTCCCCACGCCCCTCTGGTGCCCCCTTAGGGTGCCGATCAAGGCTGCAGATCCAGTCAGTGGTCAGTCTTCCCTCAGCTGATGGCCGCTTGGGAGCATCTGCCCGGTGATCCCTGCTTCCCGCCTGAAAACTCCCTCCCCGGCCCGTGGGAGGTGGGCGGCCGCGCCAGAGTTGAGTTTCTGCGCAGCAGGCCCAGGTGAAGGAAAAGAGCAAACCTCTGCGGGATTACGGCCCGTCCACAGGCTGGTTTTAACCCGTGAGCAGATGTGAGCCAGTGGCTATGCCTCATAAGCCCACCAACCGCTGACGGCAAGAGAAAGGCCTGGAGGGGTCGTTGCCGGCCCACCTTCGTGGGACCGTGCTCCTGCCAGCCTCTGAGTGAAGGGACTTGGTTTTGTGCACTGGGCTGGGCCGTGGGCCTAGAACAGTACCTGGCACGTAGTAGGTCCTCAGTGATGAACGAAGGAGCCCCGGAGAAACTCCTCTCCCAACTGCAAGGGAACCTACGGCAGCAGATGGGAGAGAATCTTTCCTCCAGGAGTTCCTAGTGTGTATTTAAAGTTCTCAGCGTTTTTGTGCTGGGAATTATTTTGGGAGTCTGGTGAAGCCTTTGAACCTCTCTTAGAATAAATGTTTTTAAAAGGATTTTTTAAAAGGATTTTATTCATTTACCTCTAGAGGGGAAGGGAAGGAGAGAGGGAGAGAAACATCAATGTGTGATTGCCTCTTGTGTGTCCCCCTCTGGGAACTGGCCTGCAACCCAGCCATATGCCCCGACTGGGAATTGAACCTAGATCCTTTGGTTCGCAGGCCTGAGCTCAGTCCACTGAGCTACATCAGCCAGAGCTGAAAATGATTTCTTAAGAAAGGTATTACAGTGGAAAACAACTATTAGAATAGTTTCTTAAATACTTAAGGACAACTTTTGTGATAGAAT